ATTTAGATCCATCTTTTTTTTTTTTTTTAAGACAGAATCTTACTCTGTCACCAGGACTTCAGTGTAGTGGTACGATCTCAGCTCACTGCTACTTCTGTCTTTGAGGTTCAAGCAATTCTCCTGCCTCAACCTCCCTGGGATTTCAGGCACCTGCCACTATGCCCAGCTAATTTTTTGTATTTTTAGTAGAGACAGGGTTTCACCTTGTTGACCAGGCTGGTCTTGAACTCCTGACCTCATGATTTGCCCGCCTCGGCTTCCCAAAGTGCTGGCATTACAGGCGTGAGCCCCTGTGCCTGGCTAGGTCCATCATTTTACTGTTGGTTTTCTGTGTGTTTCATTTATATTTGTTCTTTTGCCCTTCCTTTCCTGCATTCTATGATTAATCTTTTAGATTTTATTTTCTCTATTTACTTTTTAACTCTACTTCTTTGTACCATTTTTAACCCCCTTTTCTCTAATTAGTGAAAATAATCATATATTCTTAATTTTTGTAGTCTAAGGTAATCATAGTATTTCCTATAGACCTTGTAAGTCCATTTACTCCCCATACTCTGTACTTTATGCTACTTCATGTATTTTACTACACCTACATTCCTTTAAACTCCACCATACATTTGTGTTTTGTTTTAGATACTCATTTTAAATAATTGAGAGGAAAAATAATGTTTTGTATCTATCCATTTCATTCCTAAAGATCTGAGTTTCTAGCTGGTATCATTTCTCTTTAACCTAAGGAGCTTCATGTAGCATTCCTTGTGGTGCTTATCTGCCAGTGATTGATTCTCTAAATTTTTGCTTAAGATGTCTTTGTTTCACCTTTATTCTTGAAAGATACGTTTGCTGGATGTAGAATTCTAGGTTGGTAGGGCTTTTTTTTCTTTCTTTCAGCACTTTAAAGCTGTCATTCCTGTGTGTTTTGGCCTCCATTAATTCTGATTAGACTCAATGGGTATTAATATTCTGTATGTTAGGTGCCAGTTTTTCTTGACTGCTTTCAAGATCTTTCTCTTTGGTTTTTCAGTAGTTTGACTATAGTATGCCTCAATGTGGCTTTCTTTGTATTTTCTTCTTCCTCTGGTTCTTTCAGCTTTTGAATCTGCATATATATATCTTTTACTAAACTTAGGGAATTTTTACCTATTTTTTAAAATATTTTTTTCTGGCCCAGATTTCTCTGTCCTCTATGAGTCTCCACATGCATTTTTATCATTTGCTATTGTACTATATGATACTGATGTTCCCTTAATTTTTAAAATATTTTTTTCTCTGTATTCTTCAGTTGGGAATTTTCTGTTAATCTATTTTTATTAACTCTTCTGTCATCTCCAATCTGCTGTTAAACCCATCCAGTGATGCAGAATTTGGGATTTTCCAAGATCACACTCACTTCTGACATCATTGCATGTTCAGGGGTCCCCCAGACCTCAGGTTTGATAATTCACTCAAAGGATTCATAGTACTCACTGAAAGCTGTTATACTCATGGTGAAAGTTTACTACAATAAAAGGATATGATTAAAATCAGCCATGGGAAGAGGCACATGGGGCAGAGCCCAGAAAAGTTCCAAGTGCAAAGCTTCCACTTGTCTTCTCCCGGTGGAGTTGTGAACAGCTCTAGCTATTCTAAGCAACGATGTGTGGCAGTATGCACAGAGTATTGCCAACCAGAGAAGGTTATTCAAGCTTTAATATCCAGAGTTTTCATAGGACCTTGGTCAGATAGATAGCAATATAGCAATTTAATGTTTTTTACACTTCAATTGCTATACATTGGGTTTTCTTTCTGTGGAAATCTATGGAAACCTGACAATATTTTATGAAACCTTTCTATGGAAAAAGGCCTAGATTTATAGGTAAAATGATTCTAACATAGGTAGTCAATACACTAACCAGGTGTTAGGAAGTCAAACCATACACCTCAGCTTTTCATCTAAAGCAATTCTTATTAAGAGTCATTAAAAGGGGAAATACAAATGTAAAAAATTGAGATGTCTCAGGCCCTGAAACAGATTTTTCTAGACATCCGAAAGAAAGGAACATGAACGTCCTTTCCCCATGTAAAAGGAGAAATGAGAAATGGA